GGGGGCAGCTGCCCCCCGAACAAGATTAGAAAGTCGAAAAGTCGGGCAAATGTTCAGCAAAAGTCGGGCAAAAGTCGGGCAAAAAGTAGTCAAAACAAGAAAATCTCTCTTAATAATAACCCCAGTTTGTTGGGCAAACAAAGCCAGTTGGGCAATTTTCGCTTCACAGTCGGGCAATATTTGGTTATTATAAAAATAAATGGGAAAAATTCTGTAAAATTTGTTGGAAATATGTCAATTTTTCGATTTTTGGGAAAGTTTGTTTGAGGTTCCGAAAAATTTGGGTATGTCCCCCCCAAATTTTTGCTTCCCGTACGCCTATGTTTTCTGGTGATATAGGACGATCTTTGTTTCGAAGTCGCAGTTCAATAAAATGTTTTGAAACAATTTCCCGGACAAAAATATCACACATGTTTCATCCGGTGCGGTAATCAATGCTAATATTAAGTAATATGCATTTTCAATTCGTAAAGCGGACACATCACAGGCTACTGATCACTGGCCTCACACTTTATTGAAAATATCACGCACCCGATGAGTCAAAGCTGTTATATCGTGGCTGTTTGGCAGCATTTGAAAACAGAAAATTTTGCATAAAACTAAGCAAATTTTGCATAAAATTAAGCAAAATACAATCGCGAAAAAATATCGATATATCTACCTTATCGGTATTTTTTTCCGGTATCGGTTTTCGTTTTTTTTTCAAATACCGCAACAGCCTACCCCCAATTTTTATTTCATAAAATGATTTCTTTTAGTATACTCAATTATTTTGACAATTTATTAAAATACCGATCTAAATGGTGAATTTTCCATTTTTTTGAAAACTGTGTCGCTCCATTTTTTTGAAAACCGTACGGCCTACTTCAGTTACGCAAACGTGAATTACAATTGCAACTTTCATGCTTAATTTTGTCTGTTATCTGGGCGGTATACTAGCTCGTCAAAACTTTAGGTATTTAAACGGATAACTCCATTGAAAAGTCCTTCAAAACAGTACATTTTTTAAGGATTCTTCAGTCAGGGTGGGGCAAAATTGCTAAAGGGCCCATTCTCTCCTTGTCCTCCCCCATGCAGGATAGTATACGATCGCCGAAGGTGTGAGCCGAGTACCGTAGGCTCGAGTTAGCTTCGTGCATTCTAAGGACACATTTTTTAAAAAAGTTTTAATCAGGTGAAAATTGTAATAAATTGCATGCTAAACATTCAAACACAACATAAGTTCAGTTCAAACACAACATAAGTTCAGTTCAAACACAACATAAGTTCAGTTACTAGTATGCTGCACCAACAAATTTAGTTTTTTAAACTTTTTTTCAATGTTAAACTCATTTACTCATGCAAGTCCTAGGGACCTGGCTTTGGGGCAATAGGCCATTTTTTTTCAGTTGGGCATGGGGCAGAGGAAGGGGCGCAGTGGGGCAAATGCTCCACCAGTCCACAGTATTAAAAAATGCCTTGCTTCAAACTCGCACATTACACTCATGGCATAAAATTAGATTACAACACGACTGGATAACAGTCTTAACAGAGGAAATCATGAAAGTGGCAATTGCAGTCGCGTTTGCGTTAAAGTGGGCCGTATATATACGGAAATTGTCGCATATCTCAACGGGAATTTTAGGTAAATTTAAACCGATAACTGCATTGAAAAGCGCTTGAAAAACAGCACATTATTATAATAGCATAAAATTGGATTATTACATGCACAGATAACAGAGAAAATTAAGCATGAATGTTGCCATTGTAATTCGCGTTTGCGTAAAAGTAGGCCGTACTGAAATTGTCATATCTCAACGGGAATGTTACTTTTAGGACCGATAACTGCATTAAAAAGCCCTTGAAAAACAGCACATTATAGTGGCATAAAATTAAATTACTACATACCCATGCAGATAACAAAGAAAAATAAGCATGAAAGTTGGGTTGGGATTTTAATTCTGCATGAAAAATACAAATACCACTCTATATGCCTTCATATCCGCATTTTACCCTCTCACCGTCCGTTCGCATTTTACCCTCTCATCCGTCCGCATTTTACCCTCCTGTCCGTCCGTTTTTTACCCTCTCATCCATCCGTCCGTCTGTCTGCCGTCTATCCGTCTTAAAAAATATTTTCATTGTCTATACGACGCCCAACACCGTACCCACGACGCACGACCCACCCACCCACGCCATTTAGCCATCCTCAATATTTAACTATTATTAAAGTAACCCTCTTAGTCCAGGTTGTATCGAGATCAGCAGGTTAACTTTTAAAACTGTTTCTCATCCTCGTTCCCAGGGCTTCTCGCGACGTCATTCGTTCCAGGCCCTAACAACTTAATGTCGCTCCGTCAGTTGCGACTGGCGAGTGGCGACTACTCTGTCTGATGAAATATCACTAGTATTTTTTGCAATTTCTGTTTTACTTTGAACAGAAATAAATAAAGCTGACAGCTAGGGGATGTTCATTGTGCAATGTAATTTGCCTGCTCGTATCATTGAGTGGAAGAAACGCTCCAAATGGCGTATTTTTTAGACACTTCGGGTAGTGGCAATTTTGGTTTTCCCCCCAAGTCGGATGTAAACAATAGCCGATGCAGCTTGCCGCCAGAGGTGAAATTTGCTTTTTATCTCAATTTATGATGAGGAATACACGTTTATCATTTTTAATTCTGTTTTTCTATACTCCTGTCACAGGTTGAAGAAGGCAACGTCGAATACAAAGTGAGTTTTCTCGATATTTATTTTTTATATCATTAAATGTAGATTCTTTCATCTTGAAAATATTGTAGAATATTGACTAAGTGGCTGCTTTATACATTGAAGCTGGGCTGTCCCAGTTGCCAAGGACAGCCGGGTAAGCGAGATCTTGCTGTGTAGTTATATTTTAGGAAAAATTAAGTACTTTGTATTTACATGCACAACAAGGCCGGCCCAGTTTCAGAGACATCCCATAAAAATTTCCCCATGAAAATTTCCCCATTATCTGATAACCATTAACCAAGTCTGTATGTAGTGGCTGGGTGATACTCTAGGCCAACGTCTTGCTAGCCTGTGTGTCAAGCTCTATGCTTGAGATAGAGCCTGCTACTGAAGTTAATAAATCGTACGAATCGTACACAAAATTCCCATTGGTCAGAAATAAATAGCCTTGCTTATACAATCTCGAAACCAGAGCCCGCAATCCTCTGTGGAGGCTTGCTGAGGCTCTGGGAAACACCGGCGACTTTTGCACGAAAATAAGTATGTTTGGATCCAGTACTCCGCTCGACATTTATAAGTAGACATTACTGCCGTCAAACATGAATTATGCCGTTGTTTAAGCTTATTACGACTTTAATTCTTCAAAGAACACTTGCCGTGGTTTTGAATTGTTGTAAGATACTGGTAGTGATTTATTTTAAAGTGCTACTGTGACGAAAATTCATCATCGAGAAAATTCCCTTTTTTGCTAGCAACGACTTTATTATTGCACCAAAAATGCTTGTATAAAATTTCAGGCGAACATGATTAACGACCACGGAGTTACGAGCATTTGAAATGTCCAAAATCGCTGTCCGCCATTAAAATCCGCCATCTTGATTTTATGTTGTCACGAGAGGCTTCTGACGTCATAGTCTCAACACACCGCAAGGGCATAAGTAGAATTAGTAAGCAAACGTAGAGCATCGCATATATTTCAAGAACTAAAATGTCAGTTTCGTCGCGATCTAGTGGCGTTTCGCAGTATTTGTCTGAAACAGATTCTCCTGCATCTCATCTGTTTATATAACAGCGAATTCAAGCGAACCTGACAATGAATTTTCGCCCATTTGATGATACTATTGCTGGAGCCGCTTGCCTCGCCTGAAGAGGTTGGAGGTAGCCCAGTACGAGGTCGACGAAGTTGTAGCAGAGGACGAAAATATGTTACAAAATCGTTTTGAAGGCCATGTTGATGTATCGTCTTGGTAAGTCTGTGTTCTTATTTGGCGGAGTAATAAACTATAAAACGCATCTCTGAACTTCTATTTTGCATTTTTTATAAGGTGTAAATGTGGTCATTGCTGTTAACCCTGAAGTATGCCGATGTTATTAAACAAGCATTAATTAACATATTGTGTGCGCACATTTATTTAATATTATATATTTTATAGGTTCTTGCGCGCAGTTTCCTACAGACAGCTCGTGGTTTGGTATGAGATTTTACGGGCAGTTCAAGGCATCTCACATTACTGTGTTGTTGTTACAATAAAATATGATCAACATTCCCACACTGATCAGCGAGCTTACACGGAGTTTAAAAAACAGCTCGATGGTTCATCCTTGTTTGTATCAGTCTTGTTTGCAGTTTCGCCCAACTCGTTTAAAATTTAAAACCTATTTTCAATAATATGAGAACAACATTTGTCGCGTGAATTTATAATTGATCTGGACTTATGTCACTTATCAGATTATGTAAATATGTATGTAGCTAAAATATATTCATATTTGACTAAACCTTACGCCTGTCTCTTGTTGTTAATTGCGCAGGCGCTTTCCTCCAAATAGTAGGTACAGAACCTGGTTTTAGTCGTTGTTGCAAACCATCCAAATGAAATAAACGCTCAAAACAATCAGTTGAAAAACGGTCCGAACAAAATAACAAATCATGAATCGAATTTCCCGCGAGCTTGGATAAAAATTGGCGTGCTTAGTTTGCACAAATCTAACCGATATTCTTCTCAAAGATTCGTCATTTGGGCTCTTATGCAATGATCTACCCGCGTTTTTGTCAGAAGTATTGCTGCAATCTTGTATGCAACACAACGCGATGAAGGCATGATCGAGTTTTACTATAGTCGCGTATATATTTTTATGTTGCATACCCAGCATGTGTTGAGACTATGACGTCAAAGACTCCCGAACACTTGAACTTTCCAATATGGCGGATTTTAATGGCGGCCGCCAAAATTCGAACTTCATCGTCGTATAACTCAGGTCAAATATGAGATATCACGCTAAAATTTTGCGTGACAGCTTCTTTATAGGCATTCTTCACAATCATGGAAAAAAAACAGAAATGAAAATTTGGTCACAGTCGCACTTTAACTTGTTTAATTATGGTAAATCATGGATTGTTGTGTTATTTTAAATATTATAGGCAATGGCTTATCATGACCTAATATGGTAATGCTGCACTGTTGTTATTCTAATTTTGTTATTTATAGCATATCAATATCAGAAATAGAATAGTCTTTTGATTTCATATGAGAAGCTAGGAAAGCTTAATAAGTTTATTAATGTTATGCTGTGTGTTTCATTGATATGTTTAAACATAATACACAAAGAGAAATAAACTTTATATTAATTTTAAACGATGTTTGAAATCCGAATAACTAAATACGGCTCAAAGTTTGAATAATAATTAGCACTTGAAAAACTTTGGGGGCCGCTTGGGCCTGGGGACAAGGATGTTGAAAAACAACCAATCAGAGCCCGACTTTCACCGGTGTTTCCCAGAGCCTCAGCAAGCCTCCACAGAGGATTGCGGGCTCTAGTTTCGAGATTGTGCTTTATAAGGTAATATCAAATTGTTTACATGTATGATATTCCATACTGGTAATTGTACTTTTGACCGCATTAATTACTGCCTTTGCTGTATATAAACACGGCCAATAACCGTTATTACTATTTAGTTTGTAATTCCTGGCCGTTTATTAATTAATGAATTTGGTATTTTTATTTTCGAGATATTGCCAGAAAAATTGGATCGTGACTAAAACACCACACGAGTACATACGAGTAACATACGAGTAACACACAAGTACATACGAATACATACGAGTAACACACAAGTACATACGAGTAACATACGAGTACATACGAGTAACACACAAGTACATACGAGTAACATACGAGTAAAACACAAGTACATACGAGTACATACGAGTAAAATACGACTAGTAAACTTGTTTTTAGTGTTTGTAGATTGAATACAGGCAAAAAGATCGTCTTCTCTGTCGAAAAACGTGGAATGGGGGAACGGGGAATGGAGGAACAGGGAATGGGGGGAACGAAGAACGGGGAATGGAGGAACGAGTAACGGGGGGAGGGGGATCGAGCAATTATGAATTATTATTAATACGTAATATTAATCATATGTACGGGGGGAAAAGAACAGAAAAAAAGAAACAGAAATTCGACAGGATAAACGGGAATCAGGGAATTACGAAACTATAAAACGGACTCTGGTGTCTTGGGAATTAGAAAACCGCTCAATGAATGAAAACTAGTAAAGAAATTTAGCGAAGCTTTCCTTTATTAGTACAGCGTATCATAAAAAAGTCAATCCACATTGCTTATGTCCGATCATTAAGTAATATTAATAATAATAACATTGCTTATGTCATTACTAATATACTTAATTGCTATATAATAAAACAAACTTAAGGACTAGTTGCAAGCCCAAGGCGGTCCTTATGCTCCATATGATATCTAAAGTGATTATCCTATTTTAAATATCTTACAAAGCAAAACTAACAAAACACAAAATACTTCAATTTAAGTTGGCAAGTACGTTTCTAAAGGACCCAGCCGAACTCTTCTGCAAGCCTTTGGACGTGCTCCACCTTGAGAAGGGGAGGAAAGTCTGGAGGAACGAGAACGTCGCCAAGAAAGCTTGGATACTTTGCTCTGATGCAGGCTGATCGGAAATGAAAATGCACGTTCTGAGGCTCACTTTCACCCCCCCCCCCCAGGAAAAGTCCCTTTTTCCTAAATTTATACAAACAAACCAGCGAAGAATAACAAATTGATAAACGGAACGTACGTTTTAGGCTTTATGACCTTTATCCTTGGTCCTTGTTTAACAAAATCGATTTAAAGGACTGTGTCACCGCGTGCGCATCCTACGTGTTTCTAACACTAAGTAATGATAAATTATTGTTAATATTTTTTAAATTCTTTGTGTGTTTTTTCCTTCTTTTATTTCAAATAGAAGTATAGTTAGAATAAATTCTAGAAAATTTAGATGCTCAGACGGCAGGAAATGGCATTTTTGGGCTTGAAATTTCAAAAATGTTCTGGGGAGTTAATGCCTCCAGACCCCCCTATTCACTCGCTGTATGTCGGCCACACACGTGCCCCACGGCCATTGCTATCTCCTTTAATAATAAGTAATTATATAATGGATAAATTATTGTTAAAGGTGATCTACCGTCCGTATGTAAACAAAGTCTTTGTTTACATTTTTGTGTCCAAAATATTGAGCTTTATTCGACAACTATTTATATTTTCAAGCTTCTAGAGTATAATAAATGATCAAGAAACAACAATCAGGCTTTTCAAGAACTCA